GTATTGCAGTTAACCATGCAGCCATTTTTTTAGGTCGAGTATTTACAAGTTTTCTATTCAACTGGTCATCTTCGTTAAGTAGGATTTTACCGCTGCGCAGATGGACGTGGTTTTAAGGAGGAACGACCAGTCGAATACGGCTAATGTCTCGGCAAATAGTCTGGTCGTGTTAAGGATGTACCGGGAAAAAATTGTTAACAAAGCTTTCTTGGTATCAATCGATGCGCACGAGTGTCCCCTTTAAGATGTGAAAACTCCTCTTCGATCCTCCTTGGGGGAAAAAAAAGTTATAGCCATTTTAGTTAGGTACCCCATTTTCAGTCAAATTCAACACTACAGATATGATGATACTGTAAGCCTATACCTATATAATTTGTTGTCTTATGTTCAAATGCTTAAAAACCAGTAACCAGAAACACACGAGGTATCTGGAGACAAAAGGGAACCTATGTGCTAGAGGAAGGGTACCTTTGGGGAGGGGAACGTGTGGGGAATGGTGATAAGGGTCAATCTAGCATTAATTGGTGATATTTATTATTACTTTGAACACTGTATAAAATTACATAAATGGAATTGTATACGTATACTCTCCACGACAAAATATAAAGTAGTATTTAAAAGTTGTCAATGTCCATTGGCACTGTGGTTGCGTTTTGGCAGTCTGCACCTCAACAATCACGACACACAGTTACACAACTTAGTCCACTTTTTTGACAGGAACAAAGACTGGTGCTGCAGGGGTTTCATGAAGATATCTTACATTTGCAGTGCACATACGTTAGTATATCATCAATGGCAGGTTCCATGTCGGTCATAACAGGTGCAAGTCCGCCACTGTCTACAATCCACCCCCATTCGGAAGGTTCTATTTGAGATACATTTAGATTCTTCCACACTATAACTTGTAGATGCACTGTCAGACTGTGTTGGAATGCAGCTTGTTCAGTAGGGGAAAGTCGCTCTGTTCGCATTTTGGAGGAAGTTGCTGCAAGCTCTCTGTAGCGAGCATGCATCATCTTGACCAATAATTGTGCACCATTGTTGCACTTCTATTGAATTCTTAACAAGCTTCAAGATCTTGCATTTTCCATGACCAAAAACTGCAGAAGTTGTATTGCATCCACCCCATGAGTGAATTACTAGGAGAATGACATCCCTGTGTAACTGCCCTAAAACCTCTCTGATATTAATCAGCTTCAGTGGTTTCTTTGGCTCTGAGCGCATGTGGATATCAGCCATATCTTTTTTCCGGTGGATCTCACGAGGATGCCTTTGATACATTGGGTTGGAATTAATTCTCCTAAAGCTTCATAGTAGAGGTCTTTTAAATCCTCATTTGTCACACCACCATCTAAAAATATAAATAAATAATTAAAAATAAGACATTATTAAAAATATCAAATTCTGCTTTATTTCTATTAGATTATCGGCATTCCTCAACCTCTGCTTGTGGCCTAGTGTAGTAAATAAGTATTTGAGAGTATAGCTAATTAATATATGTAGGCCTACCTAGCCAATACTGTATAGACATCTGGTATAGATTAAAAATCTAGGCTTAAAGGTTGCCAAGGTCAATTTTGCTCTTATTCATAAGTATTGTTTATGTTGTGGTATAGTGTAGCACAGAAATCTTTGCTATGTTGTTTTATTAGTATTTACCAGGGAACAGTGAAATTACATGGAAACATCTCGAACCGAACATCAAAGGTTATAACCCGCCGTACCGCCGCTCTTATCATAATCAACTAACAAAACAATTTACAACTTAATTATGACGACCCAATTGCTTTGCGCATGCTCGCTATTGTGTAAACTACACGATTTAATACTTCCTTCATTGTGTTCTCATGGTGATAGACGTCGTATCATAACATGATCATACCAGGGAACAGTTAAATTACACCACCTAAATGTCATACAGAAAGGATAAATGGGGACTAGGCCTACGGGCCTACATCTTGACCTGTGCTATGAGCTAAGCTCCCCATTCAAGAACGTTGTGTGAACACAACTCAGTGTCCATTATCCAGTCATCATCGACTATCCAAAAACACACACAAACGTTTTTAATAATGATAAAATCAAATAAAATGTTTCCATTTTATCAAGATTTCAGAATATTCAAAAATAAATATTATCGTTGCATAAATGTCTTCTTTTCAAATGTCATAATTATAATAATAACCATTTATTTTGGATTTATACTTCAAAAACCTCAAACAAATATGTTAAAAGAAATATTATTGTGTAAACACATTAATTTCTTTTGGTAGTGTTTTTTCAAAACATTGAAATGTGTTTGAAAAAAAAAAACACATTAATGTGATTTGGTGACACACTTTTTACCACTTTACATGAAACACATGGTGATTAAGCATAGACATGTGTTTCAATATGTAAACGAAACACATAGAAACACATAATAAACACATAAAATGTGTGTAGTAACAGGGTGCTCCTTCTCACCCTTACACCTCCTTTCAAAATTGTTATCATTTGCTTGACTTCCCACATTTGTGAAGACTTTCATCTTGTGAAATAGTAATGAAAAATACTAAACTTTTACCTCCCATAGACTTTCGCCTGGTCTTTTCTTTCAGCTTTCTGTGACCTACCCATAATGATCCAGCTAAATCGTACTGTATTCAGCTGCAGATCCAGCTAAATCGTACTGTTCAGCTGCACAGTACAAAATAATGCATTCAAAAGTCAAAGTTTGAACAAACGCATTGCAAAATTGAAACTGTTCAGCAAGGTTTGGCCATATAAATGCATTTAAAATTACTGTGGATTACACTAAAATGATCAAGTCTTCCATTTCTCTTTGGTTGTACAGAAATGATCTTGGATCAGTTTGTTTTTTATTTAGTTTATGTTTGTAGCAGTAGTTTTTTATTATACTTGGCTTCTTTGGCCAGATCAGCAGCGCAGGGAGGTAGAGACAGTCCATCACGCTTACATTTTACAACTCTGTCCATTAGCACAGAAACAAATGAGTAAGTTTTCTTCTCAAAAACTGGGCGGACAGACCAGCTCTTACACATCTTAGAATACGCTTGAGAGTACATTAACGAACCTTTGTTTGGCCCTTTAGACGCAACCATTTGCCCTCAGCCAATATGCGAATTGTGGTCTATTGCTGCAAGCTGTGTTCGAGCGAGCATGCTTTTATATGGGAAGTGTAAGCGTTTTGGACAATATTGCAGCATCATTGAATGGTATGATTCAATGTTCCCTGTGTGACAGAAGTCTGTCAAGCCAGACAAAGAGTCCAAAATGCCCTTATCCAGCACTACACTTTCAAGTTCTCTGTATGCTTTTGATGTTGGATTTATCCGTTTCTTGCGCTCATTTTGTTCTGGCGAGTAGGCAGCATGACCACATGTTTTCGTCTCTTCTCCCTCTTTCCACTCATGCTCCCCAGTTATGTGGTGAAGAAGTGACAACCATCTTTCTTTCAAAATGCTGGCACTTCCTTTGCAATGCTGTGAACAGTTCCACAAATGATTGGATATACACTGTATCCATCCTATGAGCTCAGCTGTAGCCTTTGTCCTACCCTTTTCTGCTAGCTTTTTCCTTATGCTTTTGGCCACGTGCCACACATCATACTGATGCTTAATGTCTTCGTATTTGTCACGCATCAGGCATTTAATTTGGACGTGCCTGTCTGTGGCAATAGTGTCGATTATGCAGCCAGAGTCTATCAACCTATTAATGGTTCTGATCAGTCCTTCCTTCTCCATGGCATTTGAATTTTTCACCTCGCTGACCTGAATCAATTCAAAATAAAAAATCATACCCGTTTCCTGCTCCATCAGAGTATATGTCCCGTACTTTGCATTATAGCCAGGAGAATCACACCTTCCATCTCCTGACAGTTTGAGTTTCTTGCCTTTTGACGCTTCAATAATATCTGCCCTCATTTCTCCCCAATATCTATTGATAACAGGGAACAAATACTTGAGTTGAATTTGATAAAACGTTGTCTTCCCAATCAATTCTAGGTTCATTGTTCGGCAAAACTTTTTCACAGACATGTAGGTGTTGCCACTAAACAAAATCCCAGCTGCACATAACAGATTACCAGCTGGCATGCCCCCTAACATGGGCTGTGAAAACCAATGCGATTCATGTTCATTTATGCAATGTAATTTTGCTTTGACCATTGTACCTTGCAGAGATTTCTGAACATTCTCTATACTACACTGGCAGACAGGACAAATTGTGCGGTTTAAAAGAATGTCAAGTGCACTTTCAAAAACTATGAATTTCTTTTCTGTTGCAATGTTTTCATCAAACATTATTTCTTCGTCAGTACTTTCTCCTGATTCAGATTCAGAATCTGGTTGGTATGTTTTATCGCCATCACTTTCATCAATGAAGTCACTTTCTGAGTCATCATCACTCGATGAATTGCTCTCTGATAGTACCAGTTGCTCTTCATCAACTTCTTCAATTTGACTAGGTAGGCTAACCTGGTTTTGACCATATTTATGGTCATGCAACACAACCTGTGGTGTTGCAACTTTCACTGGGCCAGGACAAGACAGACAGGTGCAGAATATACCATCTGTTTGGACTGCAATGCTAGCAAAATTATTAGACTCTGACATCAGTTCAAGTTCAGATTCAGGCATTGGTTCGGGCAAAGGTTGAACATCTACCATTGAAGATGTTGGTTCTGCATCACTGTTAGTGTTATCTTTGTTGTCAGTTCCTTTTAGCATTGAAGTTAACAGCTGTAAAAAAAATAAAAACAAGTAAATGATGCATCTCTGCATAATAATTCTACATACAAAATTTATGAGATTTCTAAAGTCAAAAGAAATAAAAAAAATAAAAAAATTGTGTAAAGCTAAATTTGCAATAGACTCCCGTCTCATGTTCACTAACCACTTCTTCAATAGAACAGGTCGGTTCAAGGGTAGCTTATGGAAGCTAACATTCTTCGTAGGATCCGACTTATTTTTGCAGCCAAATGCCGTACAAAACACCATTGTAACTGTGTAGCGAACACAATGTACTAATTATAAATTTTATCAACAAAAGAGTAATTATACAAACGATGAATAGAAATAGAATAGTACTGCAATTTATTCGGTTCAACAATAACAAGATCGATCGAGATGAGGCGCCAAGCTAGCTAGCGCGCATGCTCATTATACTTTGTGTACATTCTGATATGACCGCAGGTCAGGTTATTAGCCAATCCGTGCAGCAGATTTGCTTAGCCAATAGAAGCGCCGAACACCACCGCGAATCTTGAAATCTTCATCTTCCGTATCTTACGTCACAATGAAGCGGTCTATAGGTCAAGATGGTGATTTTCAATCTTCTTAGAAAAAACGTTAAAATGCTGTTTACTGGAAACTCACAAATCTACTACAAATTTGAAGTACACTAAATAGTAAGTTTGTTGGACAACTTTCCAATGGTTGACTAGGGAATTTAGGGTGGTCTTTTCCTTTAAGATTTTTCTTTGTGGTAGGTGTTGTCTCATGTCTGTTGGCACATTTTCAAGTTTGCTCTCTTATCATTAATTGGGCTATGCCTTGTGGATTGTCAGTTTAACACCTGCGTATTTGACCCAACAAACAAACGTATGGCCAATTTTGGTGATTTAATAGTTTCATTTTCCATTTTCTTCATGGTTCTAAAAATTTGCCTGTAATTTTCAGGCATTAATTGAAAAATTTCCAAAATAGTGTTTTTGAGGGTGTTTTAATCGTAATTGGACTCAGTGATGCTATTCATTGCATCCTTTGCCTTTACCTATATGCATTGACAAATTCTCCTAACCCATGTGCATTCTTCCCAATCTCTCCTTTTGGCATAATTTTCAAATGCAGTGAAATAATCTGTTGAAATAGTTGATGTATTTTCATTTCAGGTGTTGGAGTTTGGTGTGGTGACTGATGTAGCACACTTTGGGCTGATGTGTTTTTGACCTACATTTGGTGTCAGTATTTGGTCTTAAGTTGTAATAAATAAGAAAACTGGAAATCACCAGACCAATGGAGCTTGTTGTTATGCAGACTTACACATACCACAGGAATTGGTGTTTTTTCATAGAAACTGTTTACCTTTAAAAAATAAGGCATATTTTCAATATTGGCCAATTTAACTAGACAAATGTAAACAAAGGGTATACCAAATTGAGGTCATTTGACTGACAGGCACAATCAGTCAATTATTCTAATTGGAAAGTACTAATAAATATTTATATTTATTGTATTTCAAGAAAACTGGAAATATTTACTCACCAGACCAATGGAGCTTGTTGTTATGCAGACTTACACATACCACAGGGATTGGTGTTTTTTCAGAGAAACAATTTACCTGTAAAAAATAAGGCATATTCAACTAGACAAATGTAAAAAAAGGGGGCATAATCAGTTAATTATTCTAATTGGAAAGTACTAATAAATATTAATATTTATCTTATTTCAATTATAATTATTTTATAAAGTGTGATTTGGAGTTGCGCAGTGTGCGTGTGGGTATGTAGCAACAACATACTGTGAATGATTTGATTGGCTGAATTTGACAGCAATTTTTTGTATATAGGCCTATCATGCTGTTCCATTCTCCTTTACCCCAATTCCTGAGTTGTTAATAATAAATTAAACCAGGGTCTTGCATAACAGAAAACTGGAAATCTTTGTATATTCACCAGACCAATGGAGCTTGTTGTTATGCAGACTTACACATACCACAGGGATTGGTATTTTTTCAGAGAAACTGTTTACCTTCAAAAAATAAGGCATATTTTTAATATATAATAGGCCGATTCAACTAGACAAACGTAAACAAAGGGTATACCAAATTCAGGTCATTTGACTGACAGGCACAATCAGTCAATTATTCTAATTGGAAAGTACTAATAAATATTTATATTTATTGCATTTCAAGAAAACTGGAAATCTTTACTCACCAGACCAATGGAGCTTGTTGTTGTGCAGATTTACACATACCACAGGGATTGGTGTTTTTTCAGAGAAACTATTTACCTGTAAAAAATAAGGCATATTCAACTAGACAAACGTAAAAAAAAAGGGGTACCAAATTCAGGTCATTTGACTGACAGGCACAATCAGTTAATTATTCTAATTGGAAAGTACTAATAAATATTGATATTTATCTTATTTCAATTATAGCTACAGTATTTTCTAAAGTGTGATTTGGAGGTGCGCAGTGTGCATGTGGGTATGTAGCAACAACATAGCTGTTGTAACAACTGTGAATGATTTGATTGTCTGAATTGTACATAGGCCTATCATGCTGTTCCATTCTCCTTTACCCCAATTCCTGAGTAATCAAACAAGTCTGTCCTGTGGCACGTCTTCAAAATGGTATCACAGCTGGAAAAGTCCATTATCTCGGAAGGTTGCTGATAAATAGTTAATCAAAAAATCATATTTATATTTTCTTAATTGTTAAAATCTATTTAAAATATACTAAATTAATGAAACAGAAAATCTGTCACCATAGAATTTTTCCTTTTTTTTTTAAATGGAGCATTTTTTTTTAGTTTGTTGTATATCCAAGGAGGTATAAAAATAATCTGTCCTCAAAATACTTTTATCTGACTTCCTGGGAGCATGGTAATTTCTGAAGGTCACTCACCCTGGTTGCAAGGAAAAATTTGGTAAAGGAGAATGGAACCTGGTGTTGTACATGTTAGTTGTATAAATAATATCTGTATTAAACAACAACTAGACCAGGCTAGGCTAAGCCTATTGCATTCATGGGTGCAGATCCTATGGGAAAGTGGAAGTATCCCCTCACTAATTTTATATGGGAGATTGTTCCCACTACCTTTTATCATTAGCAAAATAATGGTTATATTTAAAAACCCACAAGTTTTTAGGGCCTTTGGTCCCTGAATCCTGATCAAGATGATTTTTGTGGCAAATCCTTGAACCCAGCTCAAAAAGTGTTATTTCTGGTCGCAAGAGGTTGGGTAATAATTACTCAGATTTTCTCACCTCAGCTCCAGCCATGGTGGGGTGGAGATGGATAGGACTCACCAATCACTGACATGGTCAATGTATTTCAATCGCAGATTTCAAATTAACCACTTAAACCCTTGTTGTCTCTTAAACTTTCCTTCTTATTTCATGAGTAACATTTACATTTGAACTTGTAAACTTGTGCAGCAGCTGAGAAACTCTTTAAATCTGGTATGCACTCTCTGGATTTATTTTTTTTCTCTTTCGTAGGGTCGTCCCACTTTTATTTCATAAAAGTATGATTATTTGTACACTTGCGTCTTAGTTTGCTTTACATCTCATGGTCAAAAATTGCTTATCTTCTTGTGCGTTAGGTTCTTTATGTTACCTTACATTTTCGTATTTTCTACTTTGCTTACTTAAATTTTTCTTCCGATTTCATCCTTCATTAACACTCTCTGGATTTCATCTTGCTGAATACAAGTGTAATTTTCAACTTCAGTCAACTTGTATTAATGCTGAATTGATGTCGCTTCTGCTTAGCCTCATTGCATACCTGGGATTACTTTTGATAAAGCAATGTTCCAAAAACTGGAATAAGGCATACAAACTCTAGAAGGTCATCTGTTGTGCCCGCTTCAACACTTTTGCTTGTACGTTCCTGCTCCTTGTCTTTCCACAAGCACCAGGTGGCCATTGCTGTGGATTCATGCTTTATTTATGTATTAAGTAGACAGTTTTAAAAACCTTTACTCAACAAATTTTTTTTACTCACCAGGGCATTTTGAGCGGATCAATTGGTGCTTGTGGTTGTCATTTGTGATCATCTAGTGTAGTGCAATATTATCCGACGCCATAGATGTTGATGATGGTGAAATTGCCCTCTGGCCCCTGCTCTTGTTGGTGGCAAAATGTTGTTCCAGACTGGATCAAACTCCAATGCCTTGCCTCGGTTTAGTCTCGCGTTCAACGTTCTGATGCCCAAATCCTGAAAGATTTTGCGTGGAAAGTCTCTTGGTTCCTTGACCAGCACTGTTACATTTTCCCAGTTGATGTTGTGACCTACATCCATATTGAAACTCCTGAAGTGATCAGAGGGCTTCTTAGAAAGGATAACAGCTGGAAAAAAAGTTTTTGCTAAAGAGTTAATAGTAGACAATGTTAGTCAACTCTTTAGTTGACCAGCACCGTGACATTTTTCCAGTTGATGTTGTGACCTTGAAACTCCAGAAGTGATCAGGGAGCTTCTTAGAAAAGGATAACAGCTGGAATACAGGTTTGGCTAAAGAGTTAACAGTAGACAATGTTAGTCAACTCCTAAGTTTCCGCTTAAAAATAACATACTTTGTGTTAATGGAAACAATTCTACCAGCAATGTGATGGCTGCGACATGGGAGTCCCTGTAGTCCATTATATGCCAACGTTTACATTGAGTTTTTCGAACAAAAAGCCCAAACATTAGCTCTCAACAAACATTGTGTCTGGTTCCAGTATGTTGATGATGCGTTCTGCGTAAATAAGAACACGCTGCTGGACGAATTCACAGATCACATTAATAGTTGGAACAAAAACATCAATGTCACACAAGAGAATGAAGTAAAAAGATAACTACCAATCCTTGACATGTTGATTTCACATAAACCCAATGAGTTGCTGAAAGTACTGTAAGTGTATAGAAAGGCATACTGATCAATACTTGAACTTTACCATACACCGTCATAAGTTGAGTGTGTTACATTAATGCACCAGATGGAATTGGTTGTTACGGATCCGATAGATAAAGCTGAGAAGATTTTTCACGTAAAGGAAGCATTACACAACTGTGATTATGGAGAATGGACTGTCTTTCGTGCGGAGAAAACAAAATACCAGTAAGAACATTTTCAGAAAAAGTTTAGAAGGACCTTTACCTCAGCCAGCATTAGTACATATTTTAGACCTTTGAACACACATGTAGGGATAGAACTGCACTGGAGTAACAGGCAGGTGTGTTATACAGCATCCCATGCAAAAACTAACACTATCTATATTGGCTAATCTGGTCGTAAGCTAGAGAAAATGTTTTCAAAACATATGTCTAAAAGCTGCCAGTTCTAAATCAACCGTAAGAGAGCAAGTGGAACATAGCAAAGGTCACAACATTAACTGGAAAAGTGTGATGGTGCTGGACAAGGAACCAAGAGACTTTCCACACAGAATCTTTGAGGTAATCCACATCAGAACGTTAAACCAGAGAATAGACTGAGGCGAGGAATTGGAGTTGGATCCAGTCTGGAACAACTTTTTAGCCACCAACAAGACCAGGGGGCCGAGGGCAGATTTATCTTTGACAACACATCAATATTTATGTACTGTATACAGCACTGTAATTACAACTACCAGTTGGTCCGGTGAAAGCACGCTGGTGAGTTAACAAAATTTGTAGGCAGGGTGGAAGAACTGTCTAATAAAAGATATGCTTATTTGAATAATTTTTGATAGGAAATATTAACTAAGTTTTATACTAAAGAAGACATTTCTTCCCTAGAGCCTTGGAAAGGACACAAAAGCAGAGTTCAGAAAAATACTGCTTTTGGCTTTCCAGTAAATAAGCCTGTCCCTAACTCTTACGAACAAATTCAGTAGGTGACACATTATTAAGAATTTTGAAGCCAACAATAAGCTGCTTATATATAAATATATCTTTTACACTTTTATCAAGTGTCTTCAGTCCATCATAATAGTATGTCTCTAAATCTCATAATTATTTGAGCTGGTCTCTTAATATCAATCGTTTTGTCACCTGGAACTAAACAATATATGTAATAATTGGAAGAACCAATTTAACAAAATAGACCATGACATGTTTTTACTACACTTTAAATCCTAATAACCTGAAAGTTTGTTATTAAAACACCAAGCAATTTAATTTTACCCCATTTTTCAAGTCCTTAATTACCACCTGCTAGGCAATTTCTATGCTATTAACAATATTTTTCAATTTGTAAATATCCTCCTGATTACAATGGCCTCTATGTCATGACTTGCATTTACATTGTCCTTATTTCCTTCCTGATGTTGAACTAAAAGCTAGGGTGGATCAGTACGGCTCTTTGTCATAGCTGTAGCACTTATAGTGTTTATTGATTCCTGTTAAAGTCTTTGTATATTGATGATGGCTGTATACTTGAACCGTCTGCCCGTCTGTTGACTTTCTATCTCTTTTGGTTGTTTTAGTTAGTGTTGCATTACAATTTTTAAAATACTTGGCTGTTTGGAAATATACCCTTTTAACAGTGTTGTTGAGCTTACTGTATATGAATTGTCTACCAGCTTCAGGAATATCCATCATTACATACATGGTGCTTATTCAATGCCTGTTCAGTGGCTGATCTTCGTTTTGTTGATCAACTCCACCTTGTCGCATACTACTGACAGCTTGCCATCCTGACACATGATTGCTTGATCCATTTGTACTTGGAAACAAGAACAGGTTATCCTCTACACCAGGTATAACAGATCTTGTTTCTCAGCTTTATATGATCTTTTTACAGCTTCAATAGTATCATTAGGAAAGAGCACTGGCAAGGCACAATGATGTGCTTATTTCCCTTTCCACTTTGATACGCAATCTTGTAGTGATCAGCCAATGCTTTATCAAGTGGGTCAAGGTTTTTCAACTGTACTTGGTCTAATCAAATGCCATTTTTAGCATCCTTCCACTCTCTCAGCAAGAGACCACAATCTTCGCTGCCTCTGCGTGCATTAAAAAGTGTTAGGCGACACACAGCCAAATCTTTCAATTCTTTGAAGAGGTGAGAATCCCAGAAGGTCAACTGATCTGATGTTATCTCATGCATTCTCTTATGACTCTGTAATTTTAAGATTTTGTCCTCATCCTCTGTAAGCAAAGCCTTTGGGCATCTTTAATGTAATAACCATGTCAGACAGGACTTCTCCAAAGGTTTCTTCATTTCCAGATACAGCGATGCCAACCGTCTCATGTCAGTCATTACAGACCGCCTACACATCACCAAAGAACCTGATGCGACTGATCTTTCTCTCTGGTAAGATGGTTTAGTTGCTTAGACTGTGATTTGTTAATTTTTAATATGTCTTCTATCTTGGATGTGAAGTAGAAAAACAGTTTTCTATAGACTGAATTTGAAAAGGCTAAGCAGCGACCGTCTTGCAGAATAAGGGATGTGGTCAGTATGCTTGATGCAACATGTTCAAATGAAGGCTATAAAGGTGTCAAATTTCCTCAAAATACTCCTTCAGCAAAAAATTGCTGTCAGAATTGGCATGTAAAATACAAAAAAAATAAAACAGTGTTCATCGAATTCAATACTTCCCTGTACCAGGGAATTTTATTGACTAAAGTATATATTATATGCGGTTATTTACTCTGGTATTGTAACAAAGTTACAATAGAATTTCTTTACACACAATATTTACTATTTATTTATTCATTACTTACAGTTTTAATTTCTGCTCTTCATTCTCTGAATCACTTCAGCATATGAGTGTGGGTCACCAATGTTGTCATCTTCATTTGGAGAGATGTCGCCTTCATTTGGAGGGATGTCAACTTTGATGTGCCTTGGTCTATATAATTTACAATTAGGCTTCCTAAAGGTAATTCCTTTCCACATTTCAAGAACTAGTGCTGAACTCTCTTAATTCCATTCAAATAATTGCTTTTAAATCAGCAAAATAGTAAGGTAAACTTGAATGACGACTCAATTTGTATCTGATAACCACAAATATTGACCTTAGCAATATTACGATTATTCCAAATGCTCCTGTATGCTTTCTTTCGACTGAGATAACCAATTCCCTGATATAAAATAAACCTAGGAAAGTTTTGTTTTATATCCACTATAATGTAGACCAGTTGATGAGGAAATGCTGTTGGACATTCAATGACTGTTGCACCACAAAGTTGTAGCAAAGATGTTGAATTAACAATAAAATTTTAACTAAACAGTTTCTTTAAAAAGTACCTTTATCTAATCCATTAAACACCCCTACAGGACATAATTTGTCCCTTGGACATTCTGGCACTTCATGTTTCTTGCCATTCAAGTATCTCCCTTTACTTCAAATTCCTCTTCTGCTAATAAGTGACCATCCTTCAAACATTCTGTTACCCCTGTAAAAGAAGTGAATTTGTATTTGTACTGGCAAAGAATAACCAGCCAAAACAAAAATACAATTGAAATACGGAAATAAAAACATCATTCATTGTGCAGTATTCTTACTCAACATACTTGTCACATATTTAATAATTTTTTCTTGCAGTAAAATTAAGATTTGTCACAGCATTCACATTAAACAATGTATAAATGTGTAGGAAACAATCCAACAACAACCTGCTATGCCTTAGAAATATTTCAGGGTCCTTGTGCACACTAACTTGGCATTTAAAAAAAAAAGTTTTTGGCATTTTGGTTTTATTTGACTGTACACATCAGTAATATTTTCAATTTGTTTAAATATTCCATGATATCTGCTCCTTGACACTTGTGCCATCTTGTCAAGGGCATATTTTGGTCGTAGAATTTACTATTTGTGTGAAATTTGTAGTAGCTGGCTTTTCATTTCATCGTCTGATGGTGTGGAAAACCAACCAATTCTATCTAATAGATGATAAATTCCTCATACTGGTCATCGTCCATTTGGCCTTCCAAGGCAGCAATCACTACACATCTTACACAAACTTAAAAAAAAGATTCCATCAACAACTGTGAAGGCACCTCCTTTTCTCCTAAGGGAGCACTAAAAAAAATGCCTGGTTTAGCCTTAGTGGGAAATAAGAATGATCATGTATCCTTTGAGCAATATTCTGCCAATCGCAAACCATTCATCATCTTGCCATTTTTGGTTTAAACAGGGAACAGAACCTTCTTCCCCATCTGCATTCCCTGAAAAGAATTCAGTCCAAAATGCATCTCTAGAAATATGTTTATATCGCTACCGTGTTCTACAAAACTAAAGCAAATCAACAGATGATATGCTATCATGTGCATCTTCATACATCACATTGTCACAAGGACTAAATGGGCTGAATTGAACAATGTCGTTATCATTAATATTATCTGATGTTATGCATTAGACAAAGGTGACTGAACTGCTTGTTGCTTTTCTTTTGTGATTTGCTAGAGTTGCATAACATTATTTCAATTCTGGACAGACTATCTAAAGAATACCCCAACGATTATAAACAAAATATTAACTCAACATATTAAAGCAAAACAAAACAATTATTAACAAAACTGCACACTTTAAACAGTTTCCATGGATTCAACTGATAGCAAAAACCGATTTGACTTAATTGACTTAATTATAAATAATGTTAGATAGTAGGCATATTATTATTTTTGCTCCAACGACCTCCTTGTGGCAACATAGTTTTTTAAATATCTTTTTTTTTTCTAACTTCTTCATTTTGTATAATTGTTTAGCTCTTACAAACTTTTTTAGTAATTTAAGTCAGCATTCCGCAAACTTTTTACTTCGCAGCCTATTTAGGATTCCAGGCACCAAGCCGCGGCCCAGCAGCCCAGCTGCGCCAGGGACCAACATAACAAATCCTGGCAAGAACATTCATGAAGCCTCCATGTATATACAATATTTTGACATCATTATCTGTTCTCTCAGTCCCTCCTTTTCTTTTCTGTTTTTGTAAAGCGCTTAGAAGCATTGTTTTGTATTAAGCGCTCTATAAGACCACATTATTATTATTATTATTATAAAATTTCATTGTATACAAAATAAATATTATTTTATTAAATAAATACTGTACGTTTTTGTTTCTCTGGCATCTGGCACTTCAGCAGCGTGTGCAAGCGACACATTCGCTTTAACAATGAAGCGGCTTTATTAAACTATTTTCTCCATGAAGAAACGTCTCTTTGTTATTTTTTTTAAATTTCCAGACTGTTTCATGGCCCTCCAAAAATGTGTCACTGCCCAAATTTGGGCCACGGACCATAGTTTGTGGAACGTCGATTTAAATGAATAAAAAAGCTATTTTTCTGGCAACCTATTTTTTTTTTTCAAAAATATATTTAATGTCCAAGGGACCAATGTTGTAAAGGTTTATCAGGAATATGTTTGCTTTAACCGTCACAGAGAGAGCAACCAGTTAAACATTAAATGGTTAAAAATTGTTATTTAATGAATGATAATGCATCTTGTATTTCAGTCATGGACCTATAACAGTCCGATAGAAGAAAGGTGGCCGAATACATGCGCCACAGCATTACAACCCAAGTTCGTTACTACAACGCCCAGCAGAGGCATCGTGATGCTGTGGTTCCAAAGAATTTAATTCATAGCATCAAAAATACAGAAAGTATTACATAAAATTTTTAGAAATAAGTTTTATTTTTGCTTGAACATTTTATCCTACTAATTCTTTTGTGCTTTTGAAGTTCAAGGTTGCATGATGTGCTAATCTATTTCTCTACACCATTAAAACCTCGGTTTGTTAACATACCTTGGGATTTTGTATCTTGGACAACGTTTCTATGGTAACTGGAGTTTTTGAGTTGTGGAAATAGGTGTGGCGCTAGTGAGGGGTAGTGGGGTCAAGTAAGACCACTACTCGTCGGGGAGAAAGAAATTATATAAACACCCTGATGCAGCATTTATTTTTCCCTCGAATAAAGGCCCCCTATATGACTGATAAAAAAATCTAATAGAAGCAACATAATTCTCAACATATTCAATTCTCTAACCTGGTTGGGATCAATATGTGATTATGAATATATTTTCAATGATGTTTCATGTTATATAATCAGCATCATTATTAGTGGAAAGAATTGTTACAAAAAATAAACCATCTTTATTCCGTTTTAGTCAAATGAAGCCTCATCTCTTGGAAACACTTTCATGTGTAAGTTATTTTTCATTCTATAATTGTAGCATATAAATAATATTTGATAATTGTAATACTGTATTGATTCAAACAAATGCCCCACTTCAAATAAACGTCTTCCTCGAATAAATTCCCCCATCTAGTGCCAAATTTGGAATAAACACCTCCCTAGAATTAATTTCTTGGTGCTTTATTTTTTATTCGAATAAACATCCACTAAATGACACCACATTCGATTAGTGTTCTACTCCAGTAAAATTACATTTTATTTAACCTGGTTGAGAACAATATGTCATGATATAAATGCAATAGCACATTTTGACAGTAATTTTGTGTTTTAGACTTTAAAGATATATAGTGAAACTATATAAGGGGAGTTTCTAATATTTCTCTACACTATTCATACAAACCACCTTTTATGTTGAATATATTTTTATTTTTTGTGATGTTGCATGTTATATAACCAATATCTTTATTAGTGGAAAAAGATGAATTGTTTCAAAAAATAAAGCAACTTTTCTTTTATAATGACTTGGGTTTTTTTTTTTTCTAGCACATCATTTTGAAATGCCTTTCAAACAAACAACTGCTGTCATGTGTAAGTTATTTTTGATTCTTTAATTGTAGTAGATAAATTATATTTCGATTTCAATTTCCATTTTCCCCCCTTGAATAATCACCCCATCTAGAGCCTCATTTGGAATAAATGCCTCCCTCCAACACCCTCATGCATTTATTTTTGCTTTGAATAAACATCTCAACACACTCTATTAATTTTCTACTGCAGTAGAATTGCATTTTTTCTAACCTGGTTCGGGATCAGTAAGTCTTATGATCACGTAATAACACATTTTAACAATAATAACACATGTAGCTTTCATATTTTTGGAACAACAAGAAGAAAGATAACCAGTTTTCTGCTTTTACATGCAATTGCCTATCCTGGGATATTTTCTTGTCTACTAACTAGTGCGCCGCCAGCGTTTCAGCCAGGGCAAATGTAAACATTGAAAGGCGTCTATTAATTAAGTCCCAAAATATTGTATTTATGTTGCATGGCTAGGGGGTGGGCTCTATTGCTAGGTTACCACAGTACTGTACTGTAGGACCCTAGTTCTAGGTGACCACTGCTTGAGGTATGTAAATGGTAAAAGCCTGGGCTGCTCATGCTACATTATTACTCTGAAAGTTACACAGTTGGCCCAAGAAAATAAATCATGAAAATTTAAATGATTTTAGTTTTCAACTTGCACATTCATTGCGTTTGTTTTTAAATATAATGTTCAATGTACTGTACAGCCTTTTTCATTTTTATTTCAGGTTTTTCAAAGAGGATATTTACTGTCTGAAAGATGTGTTTCACATTCCAGATCAAGTTAAAACATGTATTTCCCGTCGAAGTTAGATGGTACGACAGTTTTATGCTGCAGGAGTCAGGCCTACTGGATCAATTGATACAAACAATGAAATCATGTGTATTTATGGAGACCCAGTCTACCCTATAATACCTCAGCTTAAGCACCATTTAAAGGCAACCTGTCACCAATAGAACAGGTCTACTACAATAAGGCAATGAGTGAAGTGCGTGTCTCTGGAAAATGGTTATTTGGGGACATATTAAATTACTTTAAATTCACAGATTTTAAAAAATCACAAAATGTTGGAATGAGTGACTATTAAGTGATAAAATAAATAATAATTAATTTGGAAATGTTAAGCGCATAGAGTTCTAGATATGCGCTATATAAACATACAATAATAACAATAATAATAATAGTGTGTGCAGTGGGGAATATGTACACAGAAGCACATGTGATTTCTTTGAACTCAATCCTCCCGAATTAGATGATTATTTTCAGTGAATTTTGTTTGTTGGTCTGTTGACACAATAAAAGTTGATATCGGATATAAATACAAATCTCTTTTTATTCAATACATATTATTGGTCCATATTTGAAAGTCAAAAACCAAAGTAAATTACGGTATAAATAAACAACTGGAAAAAATCAAATCAAAATATCCTACGTTATTGACAAAAAAAGGTTTGCATTAATGTTAGCTTGACCCAACATCTACAAAATCGAAGTTCAAACTTTTTATTTTTTTTAAATCTTTTTAATTCTATTAATTTTTTTTTATTAATAATTGATGAATAAAATGAAAAACATGAAAATGAAATTTTTTCTTTTTAAAGTAGACACACATGCCCAAGCAGGCGAAAACAAAATCCTCGCAAAACCAACAGCCACTTCAAGAGCCAGATAAAATATCGAAAATTTCCTATCTACTCATTTCATAATAGATAGCTAAACATTAGTTCTGCTTACTCAACAACTGCATGCGCATGTTCATGTGGGTGTTCTGTAACTTTTACTGCTCCATTATAACATTTCTGTCTCGTCTTTTATCTACTTTACTAGCTGTGATTTTGTTTGGGGGAAACTGGGGAACGCGAGTAATTTTTAGATACACCACTGTTTCAGACTCATTCCACTTCATTTCTAGCTCTTGTTTTCTACTCTGCATCAGTTAACCATTTTCTCTTGAAGTTTTAATGTGTCTGTTCCTGATCGTCTTTTTTATCCTTTCGCTACTTTCTTCACTTCTCAACATTCATTAAGATTACACCATTTCAAACCCTCATGTTTTCCTGTTAGTGCAAAAATATTTCATGGGTTTTAGTTTAGTGTTAAAGCTAATATGCATGAAGTACATGTCATTTTGGTTTACATCACCAAACATGTTTATCGCCATTTAGAATTTTCAGTTTCAATCCAATTAGAAACGAAACATTAATCAGGCATGTTGTAGGCCTACAAAATGAAGTCATACAAGAGAAAACAACATTGAGGTTCTCTGTATTGTTTGTGTTTGCATTAGAGAGTGTTCGCAATTATCAACATTTTCGTAAGTGTATAAAATGTACACTTTCGTTTGTGTTACCCCACCCTCAGTTTAGAAAGCGCACCTGTACATATGATGTTGATTTTGCTGTAAGGCAACTTGGTTAGTAGGCAACTTGATTACATCACACATGGAATTTTCTATGCACATAATTGGTTTTCTTTCTTTATGTTGCATGTATCATCATAAATGTTTTATTTAATATTGTAATGGATATTTCCATGCATTTATAGAAGTGTACAATTTTCTTTAATTTCTCCACATAGAGAGCTGTTTGTGTGCTTGTGAAAATGTTGAAATTGGACGACCCCTAATATTAAAAAGAAATATCTCACCTTTTTTCGGTTTTCATCGCCTGTTTGCGCATTTCAATTCCGTCTTGGTTTTTTTCTCGTCATCGTTTTTCAACTCCATTCTTTCCAATCATCCTCTTAGTTTATCAGCTCTTCCACTAGCACATCCCTTTCTGAGACTTCCAGGGATATCCCAGAGGCCTTTATTCTTCGTTTATATATATCATATACAGTATATATATATATATATATAAAACAACCAGACACTCTTCATTTACATTCAAACAATAGATAGTAACATTTTACTCATACCTTGAAGTTGTTGGTGCTTGCCTGTCAATGTTATAGGCCTAAGTATACGTCTAAGGCATCATTCATCGTCTGTTACGTCAGTATCATTAATGCACGAATAAATATATGATACATTTATATCATAGCATATTGTCTATAATATTAATAATACGTCTAAAAATAATAACCCTAATTAAGATTATACTTGGCCTGATAATAGCTAATAATAATCTTAGAGGTCTAATTACGATAATGATGACGATGATGATGACGACGACGATGATGATGATGATATGATGATGATGATGATGATGATGACGATAGTGGGCCTGGTGGGTGATGATGATGATAGGCCTAACAATATTAACTGCTCATGATAATAATATCATCAGTTAGAATTAAACATTTCAATCTCTCTCTTATACACATCTAGATGTGTATAAGAGACAGTATATATATATGCGTGTATGTAAAATATAATAAAATGGAAAGGATATTTTGATAGCTAGCTTTAAATAAAGATAGCAGGAACTTAGCTATTAAAATATCCGTTCTTTTTATTATATTTTAATAAAATTGTGTATTGAAGCATGCGCAAATCCGGGTTCGAATCTCAGTTGAGGAGAACACAACAAAACCATAATTTCCAGCACAACGATGCAGTCTGCTATAAACATGTGGAAGGCCTATGTCAAAACATTAAAAATGATAATAGTGGGCCATAATTTGATGTGAACATATACGATTCTCTTTATGTATAAAAGCTAACATACTTTTATCGGTAGATCTGTCATACCCGGTTGTGAGAACCAACCGTGCCCAGGCGTTACGTACTTTTTTTCGACGATATGGGTAGACGGATGACAGTCATTATGTGAGGAAACATCGTCATTCTCTTAGTTTCCAAATCTAATAGATGACTCAACTCTCATAATTGATACGATGTATTCTGTATAATTTTATGTGTAGTTAGACATGCACTATGTTGCTGCAATGTCCCTGACTTTTCATCTACAGTAGCAAGGTTGTGCTTGGGATGTTCAGTACATCTACTACTCAGGCTATCTTTAATCTTGGTTTTCATACAATCGCTACACGCCTTCGCCGACAGCTTTCGGGGATGCAGGTTGATTGGTTGGGCGGTCGAATCGGGGAGCCATCCCGATTGCGTCGAGGACTGCAACACTGTACCGACAGTGTAGCGATTTTAAGGAAAGCAGGCTTCACTAACGTTGAGCACATTCAATGTTGACCGTTCTGTGAACTTGTGGCGTTATCTGCTAATATTAATAATCCACTGCTTGTCTGGATCTACTGATACGCATATTCGTCGATTAATTTAGTCCACGTTTTCCTAGAAATGACATAAAGCTTGGTAAATGCCTACATAGTAAATAATATAATGGGAACTAATTTGAATTATTTATTGGTGTAAAACGTAAACTTAAATGTGACAGACTCTGTCTAAACCATCTGTTTATCGGAAAAATTCAAAATTTAGTTTAGTTATCTATTATCCCTTTAATTTTTTAGCAAAGTTAATATTACTTTATATGAGAAAACAGCTTCTAAACATTCAAAATTCAATATTTTAATGATTATAAAGATTTGAATTTTTTTTTTAAATTTAATATACTTTTCAGCTAGATAAAGTTCAGTTATTGGTAAAATCTAATTGTCATATATCGTATATACTTGTGTATTTAAATTTGTCTCAATACATAAAATATGTCGTAAAACCTCGCATCGCGAAAAAAAGCGCGCGGCCTCTTTAGCTGGCAAAAGCAAATCTCGAAAAGAAGCCTATGGGCTTCTAATCAAGATAATACGGGCTTCTTTTGCAGAGCCGTATCTAGGCACGCCCCACCCCCTAAAAAATATACTCGCGCCCCACCAACAGATTTTACCAATATTACGATAGTGGGCCTACACTTAGGCCTATTTAAAGTTTAACGAGGAGGAGGAATGCATTTGATTTTCGTCTATGAAAATTGCTTCCTTAAGTTTTATTTTATAAATTATTTCTAAAGTTTATTGTTCATCTACGCCTATAAGTATAATACCTATGTATAGAATACTATAGGGCATACGTGCATAAAAACGAAACTAAAAGGCACGAAGGACAAAAATATATAAATTTTAACAATAATGAAACACTCCTATCCTATTTAGTTTTAAAGCGTTGTTATCGATAATATTGTTTATGAGATATATTCTCATATTATTCTTTGTTGTTGAATGTTGATTTGTTAGGTATTTCTTTCGGATGGCAAAATAACAAATGAACAAATTGATGAACCAGATGAAATTCCTTGAAACCATTCAATTTATTTTGAGCCTGGATAAACAGACTTTATTCTCTGGAACGCATTATATAGGCCTAGGCCGAATATTATTACATTATTATTGTTATTAAGAATTCAAGGCTTATTTTTGTAATGCCTATTATTATTATTATGCATATTTATTATAACAGTACACTGATTGTTGTTGTTATTATTATTATTATTATTATTATTGTTATTATTATTATTATTATTATTATTATTATTATTATTATTATTATTATTATTATTATTATTATTATTATTATGTTATTATAATTGTTATTATTTTGTTGTCGTTATCATCAGTATTTTTGGTATAAGTATCCATACGTTCACAATATTACTTATTTCTATCTAGTGTAGGCCTAAGTTTCAGTCGATGAATTTGTGGACAATGGTGATAAACTGACGTGAGTTGGCGATTCTTGCGTAAATAATGTTTGCGGAACCTGTGGCTAGACGTCAATATCCCGTGGACCCACGGACTGGGCACGTAGCCACGATCCAACACATTGCCAAGACTTATTGAGTTCATGAAACTTCCTAAATGGGCCTCATCATAGGTGTTTTAGTAGAAAATAATCACGAGATATAAACCATTGTAAAGTATTCATATTGAAATTTACGCCTAACCTTTACGCGCTTCCTCTAGGAAGTTTTTTAAAAATAAATGACCCGGTTGTTGTCTATTACTATTACTAAAATTTCGTGGAAACTTAAGTAAAATTATACTTAATCTGTTTCACTGAAGTATCCAACTATCTTGGGAGATCTGATGATTATTGAATCTGTGACAATTTATACCCACTTCATTAGGAGTCAGAATTTAACGTCATTATTTAGTTAATTCATCTTGGTTTTATTTTAAGCAGTACCGGTAGTGTACGTCAATCGATGAAGTTATCAATTACTGTGGTTATTAATTATTGATAAGTATTTAGGTATGACTCAGGGTCACTTTACTGATGGTCTTTATCGTGTTGGCCTACTATATACAGTTATTTATTTATTTACTTTGCCTTTGAAACTTAATTACAAACATCAAAATACAGTTTGAATTTTTATTATTATTATTATTATTATTATTATTTCGACAG